ACATATACTGCTATATATGAACAGAGAAACAATAAGGATTTACTGTAAGCCCAGGGAACAATATTCAGCATCTTATACTAATATATGAAACATGTCATAAAAGATATGAAACATATCATAAACATATCTTAAAACATATCATTGGAGAAGGAAATGGCAACCCACTGCAGTATTCTTGCCTGGAGAATCCCATGGACAGAGGCACCTTGCAGGCTACAGTCTATGGGGTTACAAGAGTTGGACACGACTTAGTGACTAAACCACCAAAACATGTCATTAAAGATATGAAACATATAAAGAATCTGAAGAAATGTTACTGAGTCGCTTTGTCGTCCATCTGAGACTAACGCAAAGCTGTAAATCAACTGGACTCCAATGTGGAGACTGTTATTCCAAGGAGGAGTTTCTGCGTTTTCAGGTGTCCAGGGGGTTCATGGCACAAACATGGATGAGTCGCTGTGGGTCGGGTTGACCAGTCGGGGATGATCTGGTCAATGGGGCTGGCCCTGCGTGGGGCTGCGGAGAGACCGAGGATTGGAAGTCATGAAGAGGGGCCGAGGGTTAGGCTTCTGGCTTGAATGACTGGTGGGGGGTGATGCCATGTACGGAGGAGGGAAGGGGAAGAGGATTTGGGGGGAAATGGCACGTTTTTGGTTTGAGTGTCTAATGTGGGCAAATCCCACTGAAGAAGCCAAGGGGCCCCGGCCTCACTAGACCTGCGATTGACAACAGCGGGGCTGGATACGTCAACCTGGCAGGGTCTCCGTGTGTGCTCGCTTGGGCCTCACGGTGACCCCATGGGGCATGTCACCCAGGTTTTATAGCTTCATTTTACAGATGACCTTTCCTAGGGAGGCGGGTTACAGAAAGGCATCTTTTTAAAAAATAACTTTACTCATTTATTGTTTGCTTTTGGCTGTTCTGGGTCCTCGTTGCTGGCTGGGCTTCTCTCTAGTTGCTGGCAGGGCCCCTCTTCTTGTGGAGCACAACTCTGGACGCGGGCCTCAGGGGTTGCTCTAGAGCAGGCTCGCGGTTGTGGTGCACACAGCTTAGCTGCTCCGGGGCATGGGGGATCTTCCCGGACCAGGGATCGAACCCGTGTCGAACCCTGCATGGGCAGGTGCATTCTTACCCACCGTACCCCCAGGGAGCCCCAGGAAGTTGTCTTAGCACTCAGGGGTCCCCATGGCACCCCTGGGCTACTGCCTGTCCAGCCCACAAATGCACAGGACCCCTCTTGTGCGGCCCGTCCGAACACACCTGCCTCCGAGACGCCTGGTGCCCGCCCGGCGCTGGACCTCGGCTGGGGGCACCCGAGGGGAAGAGCGGCCCTCGTTCTGGAGGAGCTGATAGTCTTTCGGCCTCGAGCTCTATCTCTCTGCCTGTCTGTCTTTCTGTTTCCCAGCTCCCCCACCCCGCCTGCCCCCACCCCCACCCCGAGGCAAACATGATTTCGCAGCCTCACACCCACACTCATGTCCAGTCAGAGACACGAAGTCTGGGGGAGACACGCCGCGTCGGTCAAAACAAGATCAGAACCGAGCACGACATGTGATAGGAAAGAAAGAAATTCCTGTATCACAGATTCATTTCCAGTCACCCCAACCGGCTCGGAAACTTTCAATACAATTTTTAGCCAAGCACCTGGGGTTTCGGGGCAGCCTGGGCCGAGAGCGGGGTGTGAGCCCTCGGCCCCCTCACTCGCCAGCGTCTAATTTTAGAATCCAAACAAACCAGAAAGCCCAAACCCTCCTCTGCTCTTTCTCCTGCACAACCCCCCTTCCCGGGCAGCAGCCACGCGGTGTTTCCCCCTACGCCCGAGACCCAGACTTCCTGCCTGCACGGTTCTGCCGGGGAGGGCAAGCCCAGGCCCCAGGGACCCAGGCCCCCGGGTGCTCCTGGGTTTGGGGGGCTTCGTTGGCACCAAGGCCAGTGCAGGGGGTGAGGGGCATGGGGTCAGCACAGGTGGGTGACTGGTGAGGGGCCAGGGTGGACGGAGGCAAAGCCGCCTGCATCTCGGTGACCCCTGTGACCTGTGCAGGGGTGAGGGGAGCCCTCTCCCTCTTCGGTGCTCCCCCATAAGCACGCCGGTCTCCCTGACCTTTGTCTGACCTTGACCCCTGCCCCTAAATTGGAGCCTGATGTCAGCTCCTGGTGAGTCCACACCCGGAAGCCCCCGGCACCTGTGAGGGGCATCCTGAGGTTTCCCTCTCAAGTCTCAGCTCCGCCCCTTCCTGGGCTGGGGGGGCGGCGGCAAGGCCCCTCCCAGCCTCAGGTTCCCCAGCTGTTAAACGGGGTGATATTTCCTGTGGGCACAGTTGTGTGCCAGGTTTGGAAATGACGTACGGGAAGGTTCCCGGCACACAGGAGGTGCGCTCATCCGTGGGAGGTGCTCCTTGGTTAGTTTGGGGGGTCTTTTTTTGAGATCGGAGGTCTAGGGCCCCCCAAAGCAGCCATCCCCGCCGCCAGACTTACCTGCAGTGGCGCTCGGAGGCGGGCGCGAGCAGCTAGCGAAAGGGAGGTGGTGGTGAATCAGTGTGAGTGCAGGCAGGCTGGCCGGCGTGGCCGCGGCTCCCCAGCCCTGCCATTGCCGCTTCGTCCATCAACAGAGCTCTGCTAACAAGAGCTAGGGAGCTGCTGGGCCAGCCAACCACACCCCCACCCAGGCCTGTGGGGCGGGACCTGGCCCCTTAGGAGAAGCCCACAGTGGGCCCAGCTCCCTGGAGACCCCCATGAGCCCTGAGAGCAAAAGTGACCTCTGCCTTCAGTTTACATTAAAAAAATGCATAAAAATTCAACAACATGATTGGATCCAGAGAAAAGTTAGCTGTGAGCCGAGGGAGGGCCACAGAGGGGATCAGCCGTGTGCCGCTTACTGTCGTCTCCGAGCTGCGTCTCCGAGCTGCCCACGTGGGAAATGATCTCTGATGTCTTCTTGGATTATTGTTTTCTCCTCCAAAGCCTAAGGCCATGAGGAAAGCCGGAATTACAGAGTGGGGAGGGTCTTTGAGGGACCCCCACTTATGACCCCGTCTCTACAAATGGCAGGTCCCCCAACCCTGCCGGCCAGTACCCATGGCTGGTCAAGGCAGGGGAGAATGCCTGATGCAGGCTGGTCCAGACTCTGCAGGAACTTGGGAGTCGCCTTGGTTGAGTGACCAGAGGATCTGGCAAGACAGAGCTCGCTTCCTAAGTGGAACCAAGCAGTTGGGGCTGAGTTCCAGCGGCCGCTCTCAGATGGATTGTGTTTCCCAGGTTGCCATGGTCCCCACCTATTGCCTTCCTCTGGCTCACATCACTCTTGTACATCCTTGCTTGTGTGCGTGCCAAGTCGTTTTAGTCGTGTCCGACACTTTGTGACTCCATGGACTGTAGCTTGCCAGGCTCCTCTGTCCATGGGATTCTCCAGGCAAGAATACTGGAGTGGGTTGCCATTTTCCTTCTCCAGGAGATCTTCCCGACCCAGGGACTGAACCCAGCTCTCCTACCTTGCAGGCAGATTCTTTACTACTATTACCACCTGAGAAGCCCATCACATCCTTGCTGGTCCCTGGAAAACTCTGATGGAATGCAGTGACTTGCTTTCTTGTGTGTCCAATCCCAGCAGGCTGCCAGCACCTGGGCGTTGGAGGCGAAGGGTGAATGAGATGGGCATGCTCCCTAGGCTTGGGCAGCTCAGAGTCGAGAGGCCAAGACAGACGACAGAGTCATTCCAAAGGCCCAAAGGCGGGACGATGAGGGCGACGGGGTGTGGAAGGGAGACGCCTCTCCCCCAGGTGGTCCGGGGACACCCGATGGATGGGTGGGAGCTGGTCAGGCAGAGTGCAAAGAAGTGCTTCAGAGAAGAGGAACAGTGTGTGAGGCCCCAACATCCAGGGGGAACGCCGGAGGGCTGACGTGGCCCGGTGTGGTACGTGCCGCGTGGGGGGTCGTCCCAGGAGAGACGAGGTCCACTTGGACCAGGGTGGTGGCCGTGGGACACGGGAGAGGCCAACGGGTTTGGCAGGGAGTAGAGTTTAATCAACAAGATGAAGTGACTGAGAACATGGTGATGTGTGCGTGTGTGTGTGTGTGTGTGAGAGAGAGAGACAGAGAATGGGAGCCAGGTGTCTGGCTGAGTGACCGAGTCAGCGGGAGGGTGGGGTGGAGGGGTGGACTCAGTGTGGGGCCTGTGTGGACGACTGTCTTGAGAGGACGGGGGCAGGGTCAGCACCTGTCTCGTGGAGGTGGACCAGGGTCCCAGCACCAAAGGCCGCCCCTGAGCCCCTGGGAACGGTCACAGTTCACAAAGCACACGCATCCTTTTGCAGGCAAGAGCAGCGCCAGACGGCAGGGTGTCGGGACTGCGGAGCGTGGCCCCGGCTTGAGGGTGGTGTCGAGAGGGTCCTCCAGATGCCAGCAGCCGCTGTGGGTCGGGGTGGGGGAGCTGGAATGGAGGGGTCTGGGAGCAGAGGGCCCGGCGTCAGCAGTGAAAGACCCCTGGGGAGGGTGATTGGCCCCGGGGGGAGGGAAGCCGCCCTGCAAACCCCTCTCTGGGGAGCGTGTCTTGCAGGGACTCCGGGTAGCGGGGTGAAGGGCACAGCTGTTCCTGGGGTTGTTGATGCGGGCGGCCAAGGAAATGATGGGTCCAGACAGGGACGCTAGACAGCTGTGAGGGTCCCCAGACACATGCTTCAGTTAAAAGGGGGGGAGAAAGCAAGCAGAGAACAGTGTGAATAATCTGTTCTCGGTTGTGCAACAGAGCGGGGCTAGGAACGGGTCCTGCCTGTCTGTGGGGAGGACCGGGGAGGCTCACAGACCCGAGAAGGGTGGGCTCCTGTGTGTAGGGAGTGGGGACCGACAGGGCTGAGAATTTTACAGGGTGGCCTCTTAGAACACGCAGCTTCTGACCTCTGAATGCTTTATTAAAAAACAGGTACAAAAATCCCAGACTGGAAACGAGGATGAACCACACGTCTTTCTCGAAGCCTCTCCCTTCTGAGGCTCCCGGTCCCTTGCAGATGACGGTCCCCGTGACCCACGGCCACTTCGGGCCGGGCGGGGAGGTGTTCTGCACTTGCGGCCTCCTTGAAGCTGTTCAAGAGTCCCTTGAGGATGGAGTTATTCCTGGGCTCTCTCTCCCCAGCAACACACAGCCTGGTGACTCCAGGATGCGGGCCTGGGTGAGGGGGGTGGGAGCCGAGATGGTGGGGGCCGCCAGAGACAGACCCCGGTTGGGGAGGGACCCGGGGGACACATGTACAGGAGGACCGAGGCCCTCGGGGTCTGAGTGCAGCGGGACGGCTCCGGAGCCCAGACACTCCCCTCCTGCGCTGCCCCCTTCTTGTCCCCAGATCAGCGGCCTGGGGAGGCAGATGCCCAGGGCCGGCCCAGGTGGCACGGCCGGGCAGAAGGCTGCCTCGGTCCACGAGAGGAAGTCCACGTCTTCTTGATCCGATCGCTGGGCGACCTGGCCCCAGTTCAGACACTGCCCTGGACACCAACCACTTCCCCAGCCAGGCACGGAGAAGCCACCAGGGCCCCGAACAGGACCTCTGAGCTGGAAGATCCAGCCAAGGGCCTGCAGGCGGCAGATCAGCCAGGCCTGGGCGGGGTTCCGGCCATCAGCTGTGTGATCTCGGCCAAGTGATGTAACCTCTCTGAACCTCAATTTTCTTCTGTATAACATGGAGGAGTTTGGGGACAGTAAGCAAGAGAACGTTTATAAAGTGCTTGGCACAGTGCAGGAGCTCAAAAATAGTTGCTAATATTTGCTCAACTCAAGAGCGATGGTTCTTAACTTGGCGTGGGGGGACGGAATTAAGGACCCCTTAGGAATCTGAAGAAGCTTGGAATTCTCCCTAGGAAAGTGTGGGTGTACACATTGGTGGTACACACAGGTGTCCGCTTTTACCCAGGGAGTGACCACAGAACTCGCCCTTCTCTCCTCCCATCCCAGCTCATTAACATGCATACAGCCCTGCAGCCTGCATCCTGCCGAAGATTACTTGGGGAGAAAACCCACTACAAATTCTCTCAAGGTATTTCAAGCGTGGCCTGTCTTCACCCCTCTTTGTCCACAGCCCGCCCCTCCACCATCCCCAATTATATGCAAGCTGCCGCTTTGATTATTCTGCACAAGCCTGAGAATTCCGCAGTTAAATAAGTAAATATAAATAAATCAGCGGGCCTTTGACTCCGGGACTCTTTTCCAGTCACGCCTGTCCCCGTTGGCTCTCAGTTCTTACGAGGAGGCAATGGTTTCTAAGTGGAAACATGATTGCCTGGGCCCAGGGAAGATTTACTGTTTCTCGAAGCACTCTAACAAGGTAGAAGGGGAAGACCCTCCAGCGCCCCATCTCCTCGCATGGCTTATCTGGCCCTAGGTAATCTCGGCGGGACCACTGGAATCACGGTCTCTCCAGACCTGGCACATCCAACTTGGTTCTGTGGCTCGTTCTGGAGGAAGCATTGCCTGCTGGCTCTTGCCGTGTGCGTGCGCCTGCTCAGTCATGTCCGACTTAGGGGTGTGGACAGTGAGACCTTCTAGGCAGCCCGTGAAAGAGGGGCCGGTCCCAGGTATAATGCATCGTCCAAATCAGAACACATCTTAGAGGGTGCTATTAGTTATTACCCCCAGACCCAGGTGTAAACCAGGTGTGTCCTGGGAAAACTGGGGTGCACCGTCACTCCGCCTTCACCCTGCAAATGACTCGGGGCCTGAACTGAGCTTGCCGGGGGTGGTTTGCAGCTAGGAAGGCTGCAAGAGCTGAAAGTCCTTCAAAGTGGAAGTGAAAGTCGCTCAGTTGTGTCCGACTCTTTGGGATCCCGTGAGCTATACAGTCCATGGAATTCTCCAGGCCGGAATACTGGAGTGGGTAGACGGTCCCTTCTCCGGGGGATATTCCCAACCCAGGGATGGAACCCAGGTCTCCCGCATCGCAGACGGATTTCTTACCAGTGGAGCAACCAGGGAAGCAAACTATCAAACAAATGGTTGAAAATAAGGAAATGGAGACATTTTAATGCAAGAAAAATAACAGCATCGCACACTCCCCTTCTGCCTGGGAATGTGCCTCTCCTGTGTCCCCAGGGCTGGGGGATGCCTGGCTTTCGGCGCCCACCCAACGGGCAGCCCTCCTGTTCCACGCATTACATTCGACTGCTGTCCCGGCTTGCAGAGGCCGCCGGCCTCCCAACCAGCTCTGCGTCCTTCCTGGGGGGTCCTGCCTCCCCTCTCAGGCCGGCACGGGCTGGCCGACTCAGCAGGTCAGGGCCAGGTGGAAGAGACGGCTCCGTGCTCCCTCCGGAGACACACCTGCTCCGGGGCTCCCTGGAAGGGCTCCCTAACCCGGAGGCCGGAGCAGCCCCCGCGCCGGGCCACCGAGGCGGCAGGGTGCCCCCCGCCCCCGGGATCCGGAGCCCCGCGCAGGCGCGGCGAGGCGGCAGGATGCCCCCCGCCCCCGGGGTCCGGAGCCCCGCGCCGAGCCCCGCGCAGGCGCGGCGGCGGCCCCGCCTCACAGCTGGTCCTCGTCCACCCAGACCGTCTTGCGCTGCTCCTCGGCGATTTTGTCCTTGATGGCGCGCAGCAGCTCCTCCAGGCTGCCCCACGCGTCGGCCTCCACCGTGGCGTACAGGCAAGGCAGCGCCTCCAGCTCCTTCTCCTTCAGCCGGCACAGGCGCAGGAACTCGTCCTCCGTCTCGGGCCGGGGCAGCATCTTCCTGCAGACGGGCGGGTGGGGAGACACGCACGCGGCGTGGGCCAGGCTGCAGGCGTGGCTTGGCGGCGCCCACCCCCAGCCCGGCCCACCCCGCCGCCTTTCCGGCTGTGTTTCTGCACGGTGTCCACCCTCCGCACCTTTGCACTGTGCCCTTTTATTCTCTTCATTAGGGAAGTCTAAGAGGTGTGGACTTTTTTTTTTTTTTTTAAAAAAACAGGTCCATTTTAATTTTTAATTGTGATCAAGTTCATAGAAAACAAAACCTCTCATCTTGACTATTTTTAAGGGTATGGTTCAGCAGTGGTAAGTGATTCACATTGATGTGCCTCCATCCCCGTAACTTTTTCATGTAAAACTGGAACCGTGCATTAAACCATCACTCCCCACCGACCCACCCACCCACCCTTCTACTCTCCGTCTCTTGCATCTGACTCCTGGACAGCCCTTGGACAAGTGGAATCGTGGCAGCACCTGTCTTTCTGTGTCTGGCTTATTTCACTGAATATCATGTCCCACGCGGCCTGGTGTCCCACACATGTCCGGGCCTGGCCTCACTGTGGTGGGTCTGCTCCAGAGGTGTTGGCTTCCCAGAGCACCTGGGGCCCCTGGTGCTCACCCTCCTGGGGATGTGTGTGTGTGTGTGTGTGTTACTGTCTTCAATCTTGGGGGTTAGGGCCATGTCCCCCTGGACTGGGGACAGACACTAAAGGGATGTTCGGGGTGGGGGTGGGGGTGTGCTGGACACAGCCAGCAGCTCTTCCTGGGGACCCCAGAGCTTGGGGAGTAGAAGACCTGGGGCGGGGGGTCCCGGAGCCCTACCGGAACTTCTTGATGTTCTTCTCTGACACGCGGACGAAGAGCACGATGGGGTAGATTCGGGACTTGATCAGGTCTCTGGTGCAGCTGATCCCCGCCTCCAGCAGACAGTGCTTGTTCTGCAGGTACAGTGGCCAGCGGTCAGCGGGGGCCCACCGCCCTGCCAGCCCACCTGGGCGCCTGGGGCAGGGCCAGCTCCATGGGGCTAGAGAGCCCCCGAGTGCCACCAGCGGAACCCAACCTCCGAGAGGCAAGCCCACCTGTCTGGACTCCTGACTCCCCTGCATAGGGCCGGGCACGGGGAGGAGCCCAGCACCCAGCCTGGGGTGAAACAAGCGGTGTGAATGAGTCTTAATTAAAAATCAGTCAGTGTGGAGGACACCTGCTCCTCTATTCCACCTCCAGAAGCACTCGTGGTACTAGGACAGGGGTGGCAGACACCTGGAGGGTGGGGCGGGCTGGAGGGTCCCGCGAGGATGGAGGGGTTCTCAGGCACAACTTCCTGAGGCCTGGGAGCTCATCGTTTCTGAAGGATGGTCCCTGTTTTACTGAAGGTGCCACTTGAAAACCGCTTTGCACCGAAACAATCTGAATACAGAAAAGCGCACGTGTTCCTACGCCGGCAGTTCAGTGGGCTGCCGCAGACTGAGCGTGCCGGTGGAGCCAGCCCCCACGTCCAGCAGCAGAGATGGCCATCCCCCGGCCCCCACGCCCTTCCAGCCACCGCTCCCCTGTCTCGACTGTATAGCCACTCCTGGACTTCTAACAGCACAGATTCTTGAATGCAGTCTCCTTTGCAGCTGAAACGATCTCAGTTCCAACCCTGCCCACTGTTTCCCATCCACCCCGGCTGCCAGAATTCCCTGAACTTTAATACCCAACACACTGTTCAAGGCTGGCTGACAGCTCTGCTCGAGCTCTGATCGGTGTGACAAGGCGGCAGGGTGCGGGAGAGACCGTCGGCTGGACGGCATAATTCAGAGTTCAGGGCTGGACACCTGCTCCTGCCGCTCCCCAGGTCGCTGCCCCAGAGAGGCCGAGAGCCCCGTCTTTGTTCAGACCCAGATCGAGGAAGAACTCTGTGCTCAGGGCTGGCCAGGGTCATGAAGCCCAGGTCCAAAAGATTCCAAACTGCCTATAGACAGCTTTCCTGCACCACTGCCTAGAACATTCCTGATGGTCCATCTCCCCAGTTTGGAGAACAGGGTCCCTGTTTCCCGCTCGCTCGCTACCTCTGGCCCCTGTTATGAGAGCCAGGCGCGCACACATCTCAGAACAACGTGGACCAGACGGCCAGCACCAGGAAGCCACCAGAAACAGGGGAGGGCTTCCCTGGTGGCCCAGAGGTAAAGAATCTGTCTGCCAGCGCAGAAGAAGGGGTTCGATCCCTGGTCTGGGAGGATCCCACGTGAGCCTGCGCTCTAGAGCCTGGGAACCGAAACCACTGAAGCCCAGGCGCCCTAGGGCCTGTGCTCTGCAAGAAGAGAAGCCACTGCAATGACAAGCTGGAGCACCACAGCCAGAAAGAGCCCGCACGGGCACGAAGACTCAGCACCGCCAGTAAATAAACGAGAGTAAAGACAAAATTACTAAAAAAAAAGAAGGACATAGAAGGAGGTTGCAAACCTAAGTGCCTGTGGGAGCCGGCGAGCAGGGCTTGGAGAAGCCTGCACGGGGCAGAGGCAGTGAGGACGGGGTGCACCGGGCCGGGGGCGGGCGGCGGGGAGCAGGTCTGCACCCCCCCAGGTTCGCCGGGCCAGGGCGGGCGGCGGGGAGCAGGTCTGCACCCCCCCAGGTTCGCCGGGCCAGGGCGGGCGGCGGGGAGCAGGTCTGCTGGGCCAGGGCGGGCAGGCGGGGAGCAGGTCTGCACCCCCCCAGGTTCGCCGGGCCAGGGCGGGCAGGCGGGGAGCAGGTCT